ACACCTCATCTACAGGTTATTTATGATACAAAAACTCATACAGAAGGGCAAGAAAAGAGATAACCCATCCATACAAAACAATAAGACTTTTTCTCACCTTACCTCTCTGGAAACTTCAGATCTAAATTCAAAGTCTAAATTTTCCATTAAAACAAGGTTGCAGTTTGCATGAATTAGTAGTTATGCCAACAAGAAAAAAAAAAATTATTGGAAATATGAATTGCATGTAGAACCTGCAAGCCATAGATGCTGGCTTCCATCTCATTTATCATGGCTTCACTAAAGGATTCATCCTTGCCTTGACCATCAGCCATGGCATCCTAAGAACAATGTCATGAAGCTACTTAAGTTTACTTGAACATAAACATTTTATACCAAAAGATGCTCAAAAGGAGAAAAAGAGAAAACCTCAAGTTCAGACTCTGGAATCACATTCTCTGAGTCTGTTGCAAAAGGGGATATCATACCAGTGCTGGTAACATCCACATGTAGAACAACTGCAAAGGAAGATTGAATCCCAGAGCACAAACTATCAGTTAGATCTTCCAAAGCAGTTGTTGACTCTAGCTGGATTTGATTCTTACTCTTGCTAGAGGATCTTGCTTGAGCGGACAAAAAGTCTTCTAGATTTGACTTATCGTAAGCAGATTCACCTAATCCCAACTTTCCCACATTTTGATCAGGATAGCTGATAAAGTCATCATCAATGAGAGAAAACTCTCTTTTTAAAGTAGCATTACAGGTTGAATTCTGAAACATGGAATAACTTTCATTCACATGCAGGTTTAAGGTGGGACCAGAATCAACCAGCACTGCAGGCAGATTCAAACCAGCAGAATTCATTAGTGTAGCTTCTTTAATATCAGTGGCCTTTTGACTTCTAGCAGGCTGCAAAACTGGGGCATTAGATGATCCAGTGATGAGATCAGGCAGGGAACCTTTATCTATTGAGTCAGCTCTGCTCTTTGGAATTAAGCCTGCAATTTCAGAATTCCTGATCCAAGAAGTATTGCTTAGTTGTCCATCAATTACTTTGTCATCCAAAGCAGAACACCTGTCTGTGGCCGGTATTTGGTCTGTCAAAAGATCAGAAGGGGTTCTGTCCAAGATCTGATTTTGATCCATATTATTTTCTATAAAACATTTGAAATCATTGGCGGATGATGAAGGAACATTATTCCAAGAGGCCTCCACATCTTTTGTCCAAGTAGCTATACTGGAATTGATAGTTTGATTGCATTCCGTGTCAGCCATTTTCTTGTTGCACTCCATACTTGTAGCGGGTGATCTCCCCTCACAAAGCCTCTGAAGTTGAACCAAAAATGGATCTCTTTCATTGGGTCCACTCCTGGCATCCAAAATTACAGTGTTTTCACCATAAAGGCTTGGTGTGATCAAGTGAGGTTTACTTGCGTCAATCTTAGCTGCTTGACACTGGTCAGTATTACCATCAGGATTCTTATGAATAGGTTCTTGTCTGCCTGATTGATCTAGAGATTGAGAATACAACATATGTGGTGTTAACTGTGATCCAGATGATTTGTTGCCCCCAAAATTATTCTGTGCATTTGGTTTGACAAGATCCATGTTATCATGCAGTGGCACTGACCTCTCCTTCACAGCACTTGAGACTAGAATAGAGGGTGGCTGAGTCTTGGCAAAATTCAAGGGGGATGATGGGCTCATTCCATCTTGTGAACAGTAAGCAGAACCACCTTCTTGCTCCTGCAGCTTTGAATCAGAATATGCATGGGACATTCCTGGGTAAGAATCAACAGAATCTATAGATCCTGACAACAGACTTAGGGGATCTTCTGAGTGTGAAATAGGAAGAAAGGTGCTTTCCTTATGCATAGGCCTCTCAAGTTGGTCTGGGTGGTTGCGATCAATCTTATTGTGAGGGAGTTCATGATTCAGCAAATCAGCCACAGCATGTCCAGCATCCTTGATAAAAGCAGCTTCCATGCTGGAGTTCTCAGAATTTAACTGAGCTGTGATGAAGGAGCCACTGCTTTCGATGCTGGAGTCATCACCATGCAGTTTTACAGGAATACTCTGGGTATCTCCAGGCTGAAGGGGAGCTGGAGAAATAGGAGGCGATGGATGTGAAGGTCTGGTTGTATTTTGAGATTCATTAAAAGTTTTAGAGGGGTGCAAAGCATCAAATCCACTTCCAATCTCCAATGGAAAGAGTAATGGAGAATGTTCTAGAGCAATTGCGTTTTGGCCCAAGTTAGTCCCATGTTGACTTATTTCACCAGTCAAGCACTGCCCACCACCAGTTTTTTTATGAGGACTAGGATCTATTATTATGCCATTTAAAGCAATAACATACTGATAATCAGGATCACTCTGCTGAATAGTGTTGGCCTCAATGGATGATGCATTTTCAGATTCACTCAAAGGAATCAAAAATACCCGTAATCTCTGAGAACCCCCAAGCCCCTCAAGACCATGGCATTCCTCTATCATATTCTGAAGGTCTTCATCAGAAGAGACAGATATAAGGGCATCAAGATCCTCACCTGGAAGCTGGTACTTAATTGAATGAGGTTGGTTGCAAATCATTGAAGTTTTCCTCACAAGTTCTTCCCAAGAAAGATTCTTCCCGATGGAAATAATGCGTGTCTCTCCTCCCACATATCTGAGTTTTCCATCACTGGGCCTGGGCAATATTTTTCCACCAGAGCTGCAGAGGAATTTAATTTTCCCAGACTGAGATTTATCAGAAACTACCGGCGAACATGGCCCATTAAAGTTTTTGGAACTCAGAGAATCAGATGGATACAGGGGTGGAAGTGGAACATTTGGTACAGAACCAGCTGTCCTATCACAATTCAATTCACAAAAAGCTTTCCTTGACCTATGCCCTGCATCACCATCCTCCTGTAATCTACTTAAACTTTCAACACAAGATCCATTTTCTATCTCCATGAGAGACCCTTTTGCAGATTGAAATTCAGAAATATCAGAAGCACACTCGGAATCCATTCTCCCCAACCCAAGAAGTCGGGCAATATCTTCATATGCCAGCTTGTGGTCCAAATTCTGCTTCTGATTGAATCCAAGTCTCTTCTCAACAATCTGAGCTGTATCTGGTACAACAGGAATCCCTCTCATAGCAACACGATCCTGAAGAAACTCCATGGAGAATTCCTCACCTGTCTGTATGGAGACATTATTGTTTAAATTTTTCCCCACATTTGAAACAATTGATGTTGATTCTTGCTGGATCCATTTACCAGAAGGACCAGACGCCTCTCTGATCATATTATCTGAAATGTTTCTGATCTTATTTATCTGCATAGGAACAATATTTTAGCCCCTTGAGCCACCAGTTTCCTCTCCAGTCCAGAAGCCAATAATGTATGGCCAAGTGATTCTCACATCAGCTATCTTCACAATTTCAAATCTAGTTTTTCTATGTGCAACCCCTGATTTAGGGCCTAGTAGCAAATTTGGTAGTTTAGATATATTGATATATATACACAAAAGAGAACCCTCCCACTTAAAATCCAACATAAAGAAAAAAGGCAACTGCTGATTATTCACAAAGTATCATCCTTTTAACTGTCAACAAACAGCCTCTTTCTGTCTTCTTCCACAAAATCTGGTAACAATCACAAAAATCATAGATCAAAAACCACAAATAGTTCTCAATCAATCATGCAAACTGGAAATCACACGCAAAACCGGATGATCTTCTATTAACAAATACGTACACCAAACCTAAACGGATCAGATATGGCATATACATCACCAAACTGGGGTCAAACACCAAAATGGATACCGATCAAGGCACAAACAAAACGGAACAATAAGAATCTACGGTACCTGATATTAATCCACTAAGAAAATCCCAATTCTAGCTGCGTAACCCAGCTCCAGAGCGATAATCCACCAACTAAGAAAAAAAAAAAAAAAACTCAATCAGATACCCCAAAATCCCCCAATCGATCGTTTAAACTGTAAATCACACCCAAAATTGGATGATCTACCATCAACATTACGTACACAGTACCTACACAGATCAGATACAACACAAAAATCACCAAAAAGAGGCCAAAATCGAAATGAAAAGCGATCAAAACAAAAACAAAACCCAAAAAAAATTTAAAAAACAGCAATACCTGATTCTAATCGGCTCTGAAAATCTGAATTCCAGCGGCGCAATCGAGCTCCGGAGCGAAAATCTGTGGACGATGATGAAGAGGAAGAAGAAATTGTTGGACCGAAAGCGACGATCGAAAAGCCGAAAGAAATAAAAATAGAAAAGAAGAGGAATTAATAAAAGGGTGAGGGAAATTGGGAATGGGGGAGAAGAGAGCGTGGCTTACGGCTGTAGCAGGTTGCAATCTCGGGCACGGGAGAGCTGACATTGCCGAGAATTAAGCGGCATCGACACTGCGGCTTAAAATTTAATCTTTTGGCAGTTTTTAACTGTAACGATTTTTATTTTTATCATTATCTTTTTCACTGATTTTTT